TGTACATATATTATATGCTTAATCCCTGCAATTGTGTATTATATACGCATAATATTTGTACCCATTTTCCTGATGTAGTCCCAACCTTGCTACTCATTAAAGCAAATTATGTTACTAATCATTGTTAATACTCACTAGTTAGTCTTAACTTTGCTTGCTTGCTCACTAAAGCAAATAAACATGGCTTGTTACCAAGCTCCACAATTGTTGCCTTTTACCATGGTACTAGCTACACTTGTTGCTTTTATCAAAGCACTTTAAATAAAGAAAATAAAGATAATGCTTTATTTTTTTATTTATAAAAATAATGATTCTAATATAGAATTTTATTAGAATGTTGTTAATTATCTATTATTTTTCTCTGTTTAGACCAGAAGTTATGCTTTTCAAGCAAAGATCAGAAATATAAAGATGGGTTTGTTATTACAAAGTAACTTAATCAATATTGATATTATAAAACTTCTGTAATTATTTATAAAGCTTTTGCGTAAAATTGGAATATAAAGCAATGAAACCCTAATCAATGGTTTTATCTGCTCAATCATTGTATCACGTTATTAATATTAGTTTGATTTTAGTAGTAAATGAGTGTATTGGTATTCAGCAAGAGAAAACTTAGCTCCTTGTAACACTGATAAAACAAAGGAGAGATTAGGATATACAAGAAAAATATAACGAAAAGACCTTGGAATATATATTTATAAGGTTTTTTTTGTGAGCTTTTATATTTTATTAGCCTTTAAAGCAATTTTACTTAATATTGGCATACTGCAATTAATCATCGTCACAGATATAATGTGACATGATTTTTATTTTCATTTAATTTTTTTAATAACTCCATCATCAACTGTATTTTCGTTATTTTCAATAAATTCACCTTCATTTAATATTTTCGACATACTTTCTTTTAGTGCGTTGACATTTTTTTTGATTTCGACTTGAAGATAGTCCAAGCATATCAAACATTTAGATTGGCACTTTTGTAGACAATGATTGTGATAACCATGTCCACACGCAAGTACACTACAATTATTCAAATTAGTATAGTTAGAGTTAGTGTAATCACAATATACGTAATCGCAAAAAATGTTTGTAGATGGTTTCTTAGAAGTAACGAAGCCTCTTGGAAGGTGACGATTGGTTATTTCGTAAACTAAAGAAGGAAATTTGTATGAGTTAATACCATTAGATGAAGTTTTAGTAATTAAAGGATACTGATTTTGTGCTTGATATATCTTTGCAAACACATCCAAAAGCAATACAGCACACTTTCGTGTAAGCATATGCAATTGCTTCGGTGTATATGGATATTTCACAGAATTTATGAAATGTTGTCTAAAAGTATTATCCTCTCGATGTTGAAAAATAAAACGTGCCTCCTTTTGCAGTTGTTGTGCAGTGGAAAACTTAGCTGTACGTCATCGAATAATACTGTGAATAATTTCTACAGGACTATCACTTAAAGAGGCGAGATGATTAGTAACCATATCAATCATTGGATGATTTGTCTTCATCCAATAAAAGACATCAGAAAAAAACATTAAAGGTGCACGCTTATAATTTCTCCGATCAAACCGAAGAAAAAGATCACTCCAGCAACGCATACAAGCTTCTTCATAAGCCAGCCAGTTACCTTCTCGATGGTGCACTGCGTAAACGTCAAGAACTAAAGGAATTAAATTGCTCAAAAGATCGGTTAAATATAAAAATTCGATGTTTTTGCATGTACGATCAAACTTAGAATAAACAATATCATCTATATCAAGCCATGCCATGCACATGATGTGAAGAATTAAATCAATTCGCCATGACTGTGGCTTCTTACCAAGATCCTTACGATTGCCAAATAGTCCTTTATAAATATTGTTAAATAAAAATGAATTTTCCTTAAATACGAGTTCACGACCATTTAAAGATACATGGAGAGGGCCCATAATAGGTAAAAACGCTGTAATGAATGAAGGAATAGTCTCGTTGTTGTTAAGCCGATGTACAATAGCTTTACAAATGAAAAACTGACCAGGCCAGTCTGCAACAATGGGAATTGCGTAATTAGAAAGATATGCTTGCATTGGTTCTTGATCGTGTACAATTTGGAGAGCTTTTGTGTAATCTTCCACACCTTTCAAATTGCTTTCAACAAAATCAAAGAGGATAGCATTCTGTACATGCTGATCGGTCTTTTTTTCACTAACCTATCATTGTAACTATGCAATGTTAGTCTGACCATGAGCTCATCATCAGAACATTCGTTACCTATATAGTCTTGCATGCAATCATTATAAGAGACACCAAGATTTGTGATGAATCGGTCATCAAGATGTTTCATAATCAACTCATCATCAAAGATTTTTGGATTCAATGCCCCATTACGTGGTATTGCTAACATGTTGGGACATGGATTTGTTACAATAGTCGCCATATGTGCCACCCAAGATGTAGTAGTAGTATCAGGTTGTCTCTGGACGTGAATGCTATGATAATCATCAACATTCAACATGAATGCACTTTTGGATATTTGTAAGCGCATTCTCTACATATTTCTTATGTTCATCTGCAACTTGCTTTTTTTTATGATCTACTGCTCTTGATGTTGTGGTTGCTCCAAGGTTTGCCATTGTATTTAGACCTTCATTACTTGTACCTACCGAATCTAAATAGAATGCAAGGTCGAACTTAAAAGAGTTAATTTTTGTATTATTTAATGAAGCAAGAAGATAACATATGAACACCATTAATCTCTTCATACGGTCCATTGTTTGTTCGTTACGTTCAAATGGCCGAGCTGCTAAATAGAGTTGGTCAAAAAACCCCCTCAAGCTTGGTTCTATTTCTTGGAGCAATCTTCGCATTTCATCAAATTCGTATATAGGACCTTCTTTATTATTATATTCTCTATTCTCTTTCATAAAAGATTTTAGCAATCATCTTGATGGCTCTAGTGAAATCAATCTTTTCACTTACCTCTTCCTGTAGTTTTTACTTGCCTAGATCCCCTTTTTAAAGGATTTTCTACGAAATTCATGTAACAAATGTTACATAAAACAACACCTTCTGTCCATGTTACCTTCGCTAAGTTGTTGTTCTCAGCTTCTTTCCATTTATTGCCTTTCAGTTGACGAAATTTAGCTGATTTAATGGTTTTACATTTTGTGCAACGTTTAATTTCAGACATTTTTTCTTCGAGTAAATCGTATTATGAAAGTTGTGGGATTCAAAGGGATTCAAAAGATATGATAACAACAAAGTGTAAAGTTTCTCGTAAAATTCAAAAGGTTTTAGAACAAGAGAATTATATAGACAGACAGATGAATAAGATTGTTAGACAAGTCAGAAAGAAAACACGTTTGGTATCTAGTGATTTGGTGTTTAGATATCGTTTGGCTGTTGAAGAGGAAAAGAAGAAACGTGAATCTTTAATATACATGGTTGATAAATCTCAAGAGGCATTGTTATTCTTTGAACAGATTTTATGTTCTACTGAAAAAATGGCTGATGTTCTATCAAATTTTGATAAAATCTAAAAAAAAAAAATAATTTTATTATTTAACGAGTTAAAGGAAAAAATCCCTTGTAATATAGATTTTAATATTAATTTAAATTTTCCTTTTTCCTTTTTATTTTAAGAAAAGTCTTTAAAAGGAAATGATAATGTTATTTTGTGCTTATATTTTTAAAAATTTTGTTGCACAAAATCATTTAAAATGATAATATTTAATTATGGCAGCGGTCTATGGCACCATAATGGACAAAAAGTCCAATTAGGTCCGTATCCAATTAATAATCGGATATAAACATAGTATTGTTTCTTATTTAGTAAATAAACATTAATCATTATAAATAAAGACTTTCTGCTACTATTAAATAAATTATATTATTGATATGAAGTACTTTGATTTTGTCAGTGATCGATTGTTATTGCGTTTTTACATATACATACTCGTGACCCTGAGATAAGATTACCACTATGTTATCTTCAAGTTCTGATGATTCTATTGGTATACTTTAAATAGATTGTTGATATGAAGGATTTTGATTTTGTCAATGGTTGAAGTTCTGATCATTATTGCGTTTTTATTGTTACATCACAATGATAAGAATCTAATAATTTGATTATTAATAAAGGGTTTAACATTTTTGGATTCAGACGTAATATTCATGATTCATTATGAATATCTTTTAATCACATTATTATTATCTGTCACATGCTCTCCTAATATATTAATATATATATTTTTTTTTATGATATTTAGATAATACATGATAATATAAATGTGATTCTTTCATTTGTTTTTTTACGTTGAATAGGTAAATTAATGACCAATCTACAAATCTTGGCTCGAACATAAAAAGCACTAGCTCGAATTTGATAAAATCACGTTTTTTTGCAACCAAAAAATAATAGATTGTATAAAATACTTGAACTTTAACAATATTTGTCCTTCCAATAAAAAATATTGTTTTAGGTTCTGAAAATATATGCGTACAGTTAAACCCCGTATAAAATTTCATAATGTTTGCTCAGATATTTGTGGCAAAATACAAAAAATCTTTTTAATATTGAGTTGAGCTAGAGTTTCTAATTCATAATAGTTATACAAATTTTTATTCGTTTTATTCGTTTTGTTCAAATATATGGGGCGGCTGCAACAAAACCAAAGGTGAACATTGGTATTACTAGTAGTTACAAATTCCGTACTTATTCCGTACCTTATATCAAAAAGTACTAGTACCTTTTCAGTATGTTGCAAGTTCCGCACCTATTCCGTACCTTATAATGCGGAATCAGAACGTTTTATTATTATTTTCCTAATTCCGTATATTTTCCGTATACATCCATAAATTGCATTACTATTACATTGATAAATTTCAAAACTTAGTATTAGATTAAATATGTCCATTCCGTATCAAATTAAAATATAATAATAATAATAATAATAATAATAATAATAAGGAAATTCTTATACATCCCGTATGTTTATTTTCTACCCTATAAAATTTTTTTTCAGAAAATGCATGGTTTTTCCATACATTTTCCGTGCATTTTATATGGAATATGCACGGAATTATACATGAAAAGAGTGCTTTTCCGTACATATTCCATACGAAATATGCGGAAAATGCATGGAAAAACCATGCATTTTCTGACTAAATTTTTATAAGGCGTTAACACTAAAATAGATAAAGATTTAATTTCTTCAAAAATATCAGTTTTCTTAGTTTCAATAAATAGAATTCAGTAGAAAGTTTATTAGCAACTTCTTGGACTTTCACTGTACTGATATTAGATGCTTCAAAAAGAAAATGTTGATATTTCTGTATTTCTTACAATAAATTCCTAAAATAGCTTTAATATCCAAGTATTGAAAACCTTTTACACCTCCATAACATTGAGCTTTATTCAATCCTGCTGACTAATTCTTTTCACCATATCAACCACATGGTCCAGATAATCTACTCTTGTTTTTCTATAGAGTTTTTTAATCAGTCCAAAACTACCATCACACTTGAATTTGGTATGTCCTGGAACCATGAAATTCAATTCAATGCTATTGTAATAATCACAAATTACCAAATATAAATAGAACCAAATTGTTACATTATTTTTATTCTGACCACCATGGAGCTCCGAACGAGTCGGGTCGGGTCGGGTCAGTGGTTCAACCCGACCCGACTCGAACTTTTAAACAGTTGACCCGA